GTTTGTTTTTTTTCTGTTGGACACAAAATGTTATTGTGAAATGGACCCAATTTGACCAAAAATATTAAAACAAGTCACGTGAGAGTAAACTCTCCTCACATTGGTCAGAGTTTGGTTTATTTTCCTGGGTTTCGCTCAGCTGTCATATGTTGTTATTTTAGTTTATGGTGAAAAGGTGCACTTAAATTTTGAATAGTGAAACCCACAGACATAGTCATCACCATACATAGCCTCACTTCAATTGTCAAGGGTGGTAAAAATATATAGACTGATATATATACTGTATGTTTTAATAGTTCAGTAAGACTGCATGCTTTCACTTTCGTATTCAACATCAAACACACTTTAAATGGTGGGAATGATATCAACTTATCATTCTCTGTTCTCTATTGCATAACCATAATACACTGAGATATAGGTTTGTTATAGGTTTGATGTAGCTTTGATATAGGTTGTTGTGGATTGTATTGCTTTCTCACTACAACCAAACCTCTGCAGAGTTTGTTTCAACTGAGCCGAGACCACCTCATTCAGGCAGTCTAGGATCGATTGTTCTAGCGTGAATCCGAGCACAATTGTGTGTTTCACATATGCTAAGTGGGTAAATGCACCAGATTCCAAAACAAACATCTAGGTGTGAAAGCACCCTAAACAATAAACGTCCTACTATATTATTTTAAATGTCATATTAAGTTAACGTCCATAAACTTTGACACCAGTGAGGTAGAATGTAAATGTCATTATAAAATGGCTTTAACATTATTTGTAAATACATTTATTTATAAATACATAATGCAAAAATATTGAGATCTTCTCTAAGTGTTGCACGATAAGTCAATATATTGATTATTGTGACAGGACTAATTGTAATTGGGATTGTGAAAATGTTGGAAATTGGTAGCCACTGATGACAGTGATGGGGTTACAAATGTTCTTCAAAAAACAAAACAAAACAAAACAAAAAGTTCTTGGTTTGTTTCTTTACTTCAGTTTTAAATGCATTATTATAAAATATAAATGAACTGAATACCATATTATAAAGGTAAATCTCTGTGATAAGGTTTATAATACTTTTGCACGGACTAATTATAAAAGACCGTTTCTAAAGGCTATATTCTGTTTAGTTGATGTCAATTTAAACATTTGCTAATAAATTGTTAAAATAAACATATATGTTGTATATGGCAGAATAAATCATTTTTGTGGGTGGTGCAGTGGATAGCGATCTCGCCTCACAGCAAGAAGGTTGCTGGTTCGAGCCTCGGCTGGGTCAGTTGGCATTTTTGTGTGGAGTTTGCATGTTCTCCCTGCGTTCACGTGGGTTTCCTCTGGGAGCTCCGGTTTACCCCACAAGTCCAAAGACAGGTGAATAGGGTAAGCTAAAATTGTCCACAGTGTGCGTGTGTGAATGAAAATGTATGGGTGTTTCCCAAATTGGCTGTCAATTCCGCTGTGGTGACTCCAGATTAATAAAAAGACTAAGCCAAAAAGAAAATGAATGAATGACATTATTGCGATAAGCAATATTATTGTACATTTTTCTGACTATTTTATTATTACACAACAGCAAATTAATGCAAATAGGCATAAACACTTTTAAGTAGAGCTGCGCAATATACTGTTTCAACATCGATACCGCAATGTGCGAATCTGCAATAGTCACTTTGCAGGATCTACAATGCCAAGATGGGATTATAAAAACCAGGAATCACAGTTCAAAAGGTGATCAGTGGAGCCATCGCAAAGTTTAACCCTAAGAGAGTGAGAGATTTCAGTTAAATGTGTTTTTGAGACCTGTTACTAAGCTCATTCATTCATTCATTCATTTTCTTTTCAGCTCAGTCCCTTTATTGACCTAGGATTGCCACAGCGGAATGAACCGCCAACTTTAGCCGTTAGACTAAAACCGTAAAACACAAAGTAATTAAATTCTATATTTGTTCTACTGTATTCATCTACATTTATGCTCACCAAATAGTTTATTATTTTTTTGCTGAAGTACTCTCCTACAAAATAATCTCAATTATTTCCAAGTGGAGTTATTTAGGTCATTTACTATGTGTAATTTATATCACGAAATATAGCGCAGAAAAAGAAAATATTGCAATGTCATTTTTTCCAATATCATGCAGCCCTATTTTCAAAAGACAAAAGCTTTTTCATTCTTCAGGTTGGATTTCCGAAATGTCCTCAAATAAACTGTCACTGGTGATGTAGAATGTCAATTTATTGTAAATTGGTTTTGATGTCATTTTTTATGGACGAGAATGCAGCACTGAAACAGACCTCATATGGACAGCTTCCTCCAAACAATAGTAGTTTTCAGGAAAACATGAAAATTCACCATTTCTTCAGCCGTCAGAGGGTATTTTTTCTAAATGATGTACCTGAGCTAGCTGCCACCTCCTATAGAGATTAGATGAGATGGCAGAGGCTGTGTCTGCAATCAGATCAAATGTTGCTGACATTTATCTTTATGTAAACATGTTGGACAATACATATTGTGTCACCAAAAAGGGATTGAGGTTATGTCAGTGTATTGCGCAATAAGCTGATATATTAGCTCATGCGACAGGCCTACTTGAGTTAATAGAATGTAATGAAATCCAAAGATAAATATTATACTGTTGCTTTCTTAGAGAAGCATTTTCTTTAGTGAAGCATTTTACAGTATTTAACTAAAACCTTACTCTTCGGAGAGTCAAAAAAATAGATACAGGCAAAACAAAATGAATCATTGTTGCTCCTGGTGATACCCTAATGTCTTTTCAATTTGTGAAAATGATTATTTTCTATTATTTACTATTAAGTGACAAGAAGATCATTCTTCAGACTGACATCTGGTAAAGGTCCTCAAGACCTTGCTTGTCAATTCTGTGCTCTAAAATTTATAATGATGTAAATACTATTCAGGCTGAACCTCAGTATGTCATCAGGAGCTACAGGTATTTGTTTTGTTTTCCTTCTATCTGTTTTTTTATTATTATTTATTTATATACCTTTGACTCTTGAAGGATATGTAGCCTTTAACTTGCACCTTATGAATCACCAAGAACCACAGTTTCAGCTAAACATCTCTAATTTTCTGGTGACGCTACATAAGAGCAATTCTAGCATTATGGATGTGACATGTGCAGCAAAATCTAAAAACGTAATTTCACATAGAAAGTATATGTTAACATTATATTGAAACATCTATTTATGTTTTCTAAAACAACTTAACACAGAGTTATGGGATCAGAAAAATATTAGCTTGTAAACATTGTTTATAATTTAAATGAGGAAAATAAGCATGCGTTATGGATGCGACCAAAAAGGTTAGTGAGTTTGCAGTATACAACATGCTATAGAAATTCTGTGAATTAAAGTGCACAACCCCCCAAAAATATTGCTAACTTAAAGGATAAGAGTTGGCTCTCTATAGAACTAAAATTATTGATTTTATTTTATTTTAAATTTTTTCACTTATGGGGAAAAAAAAGGTTTGTTATGGATGTGACAGATGTGACATTGAAACTTGGGTGACTTTGGTAAATAAAAATATAACAGTTTGAAAACACTGACAAAGACATTTTTGAGTATGTTTATAGAATCTTAAAATACAAGCATTTACTAAAAACTTCGAAAAATATATTTTTTATGGCAAAGTTGACATTTGCATGGAATTGCTCATACATCTTCGATGGCCTGAGAGGTAAGTAGATTACCAGTGGGGCTGTGCAATGAATGGAAATTCGGTTTCAATTTAAATTTTGGCTTCTAACGATTATTACATTAATCGAAATAAAACGTTTATTGCATCATTTACCGCCCCCTTTCCAGTTGTACATATTTGTTGCTTTGCAAAGCTCAGTTTCATGTGAAAATGGCTAAAATCAGCACTTTAATGATCAATTACATACAAATTTGTGTCAAAACACAGTGTTTAGTGATTATTTATATATTAACCCCATTTATATATACACTTTGCATCACGCAGATAACTCCACTGTCTAAACACACTAGTTTAGAAGTGAGCGCCACCCGCTGTAAGTTTTCTCAGTATTTTTGGTTGGCAGAGTAGTTTAGTTATAGCGTGAAAACGCTGAAGATGTTATGTTTGTTTATTTTGTATTAGAGAGTTTAGAGGGTAAATGTTAGCAAGATTTGGGGTTTTGTTATATTGCTTTCATTTATTTGGCGCCACTTACATCTTGTTTCCCCCCACCCTTATCTACATTGTTTGATTTATTTTATGTTGTGAGATCTTGTAAATAATACTTTATTGACTTTTTTTGACCTTTCACTATTGTAAATAAATTCACTTATTTTTGCAGTATTTTGGTTGTCGTGTTGATATTTTGCCACCAACTCACCACAAAATGTTATCACCTTAAATATTACCTTTTAAACCCTAAAGCAAAAACTTAAAAGTCGTAACACCAACAATAAACTAAGCATGACTAGATTCAAATTCAATCAAATTCACTCCTGAAAATCACAAATGTCAAATTCTTTTCAGGTTTTCCATGTCCTTGAAAAAAGAACAACACTTCCTTGCTTTCAAACAAAATCATTCTCTGAATATTTTTATCTCTTAAAAAAAAATCATTAATTTCCCACTTTTTCTTTTGAAAAGCTGATTTTAAAGTCAACTCTTAAATCCATCCAATTAACACCAGCAAAAACTAAAACTCAAAAATAAAAGAATATACACTAAGCATCTTCTCCTTGTCGCCTAACCATTCAAATACATTCCATGGCCGTCTGATAGCACCCTGAACATGCCGAACAAATTAAAATTCCATAACCTGATGTAATGCTACACTTCAGAACACTGGACTCAAAAAGCAGCAAAGAGGGCACCCAGCATAAACATCCATAATCACTTCAACTTCAGAAACATGCAGCATTTTAAAAACAATTACTTCACATATTTTAAACATCCTCAATTTCAGAAGAAAATCTAAGCATGTTACATAAAAACAAAAATGAATGAGTGATAAAAGTAGATGTCTTACTGTGAAGATGCGGCGACCGGTGCGGTCGAAGGTGACGCAGTATACAGATGACAGGTGTCCCAGAATCCTCTTGTGCATCTTCATATGTTGGTAAACAGCTGTGGGGACCAGCTGACCCAACCGATAAGAGCCATTCAGCCTCCGACTGTGTATCGTTTCCGCTTTTAGACACAAGATAAGCAAAACATGAGAGTAAATACATTTAAGACTTTAAAAAAAGAGGAACAATTACGGGAACAAAACATTTCCTTAAAAGTAATATTAACATTTAAAAAAATACATGTTCTAAATAACATTTCTCAAATATTTTACATCCAATTTCAACAATGTTGTAAATGATCAAACAAAAATTCATAAATCAATGGTTCACATTTTTCTAAATAACATTTTTATTTTTTCAGTTCTTTTTCTCAGCTAATTTTACATGCAATTTCAATAATCAAATCAAATGGTGCATATTTTTCTAGTTACATATTTAAGCTAAACGTTGTAGATAATTTTTTGTTAGATTTTAGATTAAGGTGTCCTTGTTACCATGTAACTATTTATTTTACTACTATGTAATATTAATTAAGTAAGTATGTACTTACTATTTGAGATTAGAATGTGGGTTATTCGCGATAAGCTGCAGGTAATTACACATAATTAATTGTAATTAATATAGTAACAGGGTTTCTACAGGTTTCATCAGGTCAAATTTAAGACTTTTAAAGACCTTTTTAGTCCCATTATGAATGAAATGATAGATTCACACAAGGCTAAACGCAACAGATTTTTCTAATGGCCCACTTAAAACATTAAACAAACAATAAAAACAGATGTTACTATAAGGAAGATATTTATTTGGGGGAGGGTTGAGTTGTTTTGCTTTAGGACGATGCACGACCTGAGGAGCGCGGGGGGTGTTTTAAGTTGAGGTGCTATTTGTTTTTATATAAATTTTTTTTTTATATTTACTGTTGCACTAAAGTCCAAAAGAGAAGAATTGATGTTATTTATTACTTGATTGTTCAAGCTACCTCACAGGAGGGCTCTGTTTGTTAAAAGAGTTGTTGAATGTTAAAATAAGATGAATTAAATAAAAATAAGAAACATCCTGAATCTGTTTGTTCGCTCTTCTTTATTTTTTTATGTATTACAGATGTATCAGATTGGGTTTCGCTATCGGTAGATACTCAAAATCAAACTCGGACTCAAGGGCAAAAAAATCGGGACATCCCTAATTTTTTCCCAATTTTTTTATTTCAATATTCAATTCAATAAAAAGCATAACAAACAAAGGAACAAATAAAAGCAAAGTAAATATTTAGAATGTGTTATACCACTTGGAGAGCTCCAACATACAATGCACATAAACAAGTTTCTCAATTTACCAACAAATTACTACTTCTTTCATAACCATTTAAGCATTTTAAAAATACAGTTTTATACAGATTATATATCAAATGTTTATCCATAACAAACACCAACTTTCAACCAAAGCACAACTAGATTTAAATTCAATCAAATCTAAATAGTCTAAATATTTAAACTAAGTGCTCCGACTTAAAAAAATTTTTTATCAGATGTTATATTTTATATTCTATTTCAATAACCAATTTAACAAAAAAACAGATTTAAAAATATCTGAGTTGGATGAATGCTGTGTGCTACAATAACACAACAACCAATAAGAGATGACCTACCAATATTTGGCGGGCTCCCAAAGATGACTGGCGGCTCGGGAGGCCTGCCACAGTGCAGAGCTGCGAGGGCCGACCCCTTCCATACCACGTGCTTACAACCTGTCAACAAACACATGGGAATGTTGCTAAATATACACTGCAGAAGGGGCTGAACCTCTAGGCACACTGAAACAAACTGGTGGTCATGCGATTTGTAATTATACGCTTTTGCTTTATTTCATAACAGCCAGTCACAGTCTTCATGATAGTGCTTAAGTCTTAATTGTTATGAAATCTATTTTAATTTGAAGGCAGCAATTAACATTCTTCTTTCTTTAATATACTTGCTTACTGTAGATCTCTAACTCATTCATTAGATTACATTCATAAAATATTAAAGGTTAGTCTACTATAAAAAAAAATCCCAATTTTACACATCTTGTCTTAAAATCTTATTCATTTACAGCAGCTATGGTATCAATACTGTAAAAAAAGGCAACATAATAATTTGATTAAATGAAACTGATTACCTTCAAACATAGAAACCGAATACATTTAATCTTCTAACAGAAATGCTCACTTTTGTTTGTACGCAGCACTGACTGTCGTCCGGTTCCCAGAAGTGAGTTGACTCCAGGTACGCTGGCTGGCACTTCTCTCTCTAAAAGTGGGCTCACTCGCTCACACACCTGCAACAGGTGATCTGGAGAAATGTGCCTGTACAATTTGACCTGTGCACACAATTAGAAACAAGTATTAGGGCAGTTTATTACCTTAATTTTAGCCTAATATAACTTTAATATAAATTTTAAATAACTGCTTTCTTATGGTTTGTGATTTCAAATGAAATGATTACTCTGGTCATTATGGCTTTTATTACTATTACCATAATTAATAATAATAATAATTAATATTACATTTCTGAAGGATCATGTGACTCTGAGGACTGGAGTGATGAAGCTGAAAATTAACCATCAAAATCACTGGAATAAATTATTAAATTAAATAATAAACTACTTTTGAGCAGTTATTTTATTGTGCAATAACATTTCACAATTTTACAATCTGTACTGTATTTTTGATTAAATAAATGCAGCCTTGGTGAGCAGGGTAAGCTTATTTTAAAACATTTAGAAATCCTACTCACCCCAAACTTACAATTGTGGCAATACCAGTGGCAATACAAGTTAGCCACTATACACTATGCACTTAAATGTATAACTTTATAGGGTTATTTTGTAATTCAACCTCAGTGTCTGAAAGCCCTGTTCCTCCACTACAGAATTAAATCTGTGACATTTGAGCACATGAAATATTCAACATCCCACTCATATTTCAAGTGCAATTTTTAGTTTTATAATTACCAGTGTGGACTATTTACACTATAAAATGAAATCAATATTGTTTATTTAACATTCATTATACTTAATGATTTTGTAATAATAGTGTATGCATAAAAATCAGGAGAGTACATTTATTTTACTGTGCTTGTTTAAGTTTGTTATAGTTACAATTTAACTGAACTTTTAAACATTATTAGCTTACTTTAATTTACAGGGTTAGTGTTAGGATCGCAGATTCCTCTTTTTGCATGTCTTTAATTACTATATCCATGGTGCGAATTACAGGGGGGTTTGGAGGGGTCTGACCAACCTAATTATTGCTTGATCCCCCCTGAAGGACATCAAAATAAGATGTATGAGGGGGTCTGCTCTTTAATAGTTAAGAAATAGTATGCTCAAATCTGTATTTTAAATAATATTATTAATTAAAATAAAAGATAACTTTAATATACATTTGACCACCCCATATTGGTTCATACTATTGTGAATGCATGTTTGTGCCAAAAATATTAAATTTATTGCTTTGAAACCGGCAAATTTAAAGCAGCAACAGACAGAATAAGTGTTCACAAAACCTTTTCTTTAAAAAAGGTGTTTCCAGGTGTCTGTAAAACTAGATGCATAGTTTGTATTTTATTATACACTTGCTCGCAATAGGTGCAGGAAAGCAAACCTGTCACCGTTCATTTGATATCGCACATATCATTGAGAACCACTTAATATCCCTCAAAACACTGAAAACATAATAACAAGTTTGGTTAATAAAGTAGATGTAACTGAATTAAATATACAAATGTGGTTCACTGAAGCATATTACCGAACATAACTGAAAAATTTGACCCGCCCGATCGTCAATGTATAATTTTTATCCTGACTATATCCTTAAATCAGAACATGTGAGTGTTAGTTGCCATGCATTCATTTATTTATATTTTTGTATTGAATGACAGATTTCTGTTAAAAAATAAAAAATAAAAAATTTAAAATTTAAATAGAAATGTTTTGTGTTGGTTAAAGGGTAGGGCAATTATAGTTAACTATAAAAATGAATTAGAGATGCAATTAAACGTAGGTTTACACACAATTAAGTACAATGTATCAAATTATTTATTCAACAGTAGAATAAGACATACAATATAAAATGGATACAATTAGGCTTTTGCTTAATGTTATTGCATGTGTTAATGCATACTCTACTGTTATTGCTATAGTAAGCAGATACAATTCTATAACGCAAAAATTTTACAGCTGTTAGTCTTGAGACTAATCTATGAAAAAAATATAATAACAATGGCAAAATTCACTTTTAATATTCTGTTACATCATTGTAAGAATAAAAAGCCTTTCATACAAGTGATCAGCATCATCGTTTAATAACTGTAAACAATCAAAGTACATTAAAAAAAATTAACACTTCTTTTTAAGGTGTCCTTGTTAGTTACACATGTTCTATCTATGTATTTACTGTTATGTTATTAATTATGCATAATTGCATGCAACTAACCATAAATCTAACCCGCATTCTAACCCCAGCCATATAGTAGCTATGTGTAAATAATTAATAACACTCCGTAGTTAAATGAATAGTCACCCTAAAATAAAGTACAACAATTAATTGAATAATACAATAAAGAATAAATTTAAACGCATTTAAACGCCAGACAGACAATGCACATTAAAACCAGTTTACGTTATAGCATAATTACAACATTTATGAGACTACATTCGACACTTCGTGTCAAACAAATACGGTGTTACTGCCGTTTTACAAGACTCTTTTTATCTTTCCACATCTTCCCTGGAGATGCATCTAACCTACAGTGTAAAATGTTCATCTCCCCCTGCGCAACGCGTCAGTCCAGGCATCTTTTATCAAGCCTGTTCAGCAGATCCAGCGGCAGGCCAGTAATTAATGTGACTTTAATTGCATTTAGCGTCGTCCCATTGGTCCACACGCGCGCACACACACATTCCAGATGCAAAGAAAGGAGCGCGTGCACACACCGCTTAGACAATGATTTAAAATGTCCATGCACGTTTAACGTTAAACAAGCGCGTTAAAACACTAATTAAAAAATCAATCAATATGCAATTTTGTTAATTAATTATTATCCTGAATCACTACATTATTTGGTATTAAAATGCATATTTAAAAAATATATTTTTTAAATATGTATTTATCCTTAGATTATGTTGAACGTAATGAATTTATATTTATTTTTTTAATTCAATATTGTTATCGTCATCATTAGTTAATTATCTTTACGAATTGTGATAATTAATGCAGATTGCATAGCTCATTAACATGTTGATCGAGGGACGAGTCCTGACAAAAAAAAATTAATTGACAGCGCCAACATCAGGCAGTCTCGTGTGCGTTATTACAACCCACAATCTGCAGGCACGGGCTTTATAACATCTTCACACGCCAGTGAAATTATCCACACACACACACACACACACACACACACACGCATGCATGCATTCACTCACTATAATACACTCTAGTGGCGAGATCAGCCGCGAGACAACCGCTAAAACAATGTAACAGATTATCGCTACATTGTGTGTGAATTTCACAATGTAGCAGTCCGAGACGACGGAGATACAGCAGTAACAAGCAGCATGTGCGATTAACAGACAGCTGAGTCTATTAGTTACGCAACTGATATATATTGGGGGCCGGCCATAACAGGGGCTGGATCAAAACACACTAAGTTTTAAAATAAGATATTTCGGGATCTCTCACTTCAAATGTGAAATCAAGCCGTCTTCCTGATGGTTGTTTCTACGTCGAAAAGCGAGCTACTAAAAAACCTAAACAGTCAAATAAATAGTTTGTTTACTTCTCTAAATATCGTAATTAATAAATTAATCGATACGTATTCATTTAACTGTACCTCTCATTTGTATAATCAGCTTCAAGTCTCAGCACTGAAAACATTTCCTCCGAAAAATGCTAAATTTTATACTGTCAGGCCACTTAAAAAATCCCATTACCTTCCTAAGATCCTCTACGTCTCCGCTGTTGCTTCCTTCTCCACAAGCTTAGTTTAAGTGTATTAAACTAAGGTAAAAAAGCAGTATTTTACCCGTACTATGGTTGTATTACATAGAGCAGAGCGCCTCCATCCCGCCCCGCTTTCAGTCTCTGGCGCACTGGTCCCTCCTCCCTTCGCTCCCTTCCCCTTATAGCAGCACATTCATGACGTCTCTTTATTTCTACATCAATTTTAACATCTATTTACACCTTGTGGACTCCACTGTGACCAAACTCACATCCCCGAGGTCAGGCCGGGCTCTGGGTTCAGCTACTGACAGTCTTTTCTAAGCCTGGGGTTGTTTTCCCCCATGTGTTCGGGTTAAGTTTTTTCCTGATTTAAAAATTGCGGGAAATTCAATTTCTTATTTTGCTCTCTAAAAAGTTTTCTCTCTGTTATAGGGATCCCTTACCAAATTTTCGTAACTCCCCGGGTGTTCTTTGCCAGTCCAGTCAATCCGTTTAGGTAACAGCTGTAATGGAAAAACGGCGTTAAATAGGTTTGCTTCAATTCTAGGGCTCGAGTTTGTTTTTTAAAGCATAAATAGGAAATCTGCGTTAAATTAACAGCCTGAAGTGCAGCGCAGTGAGATGCGACGCGAGTGAGGCTCGCGCTGCTTACCTCCTTCTGCTGAACCTCCCGTATCAAGGTCTGAAAAAAGCACAAAAATCGCACATTACGGTTCAATCTTCTCCAGGGATGTCGTTTACAATCTTAAATTACAAAATCACCCACCTCTGCTGCGTCCTGACACGGTCCAGCTTCTAAAAATCGGGCTATTAGGAAGTACAGTTCTGCGAGATGGGGGAGAATGAGCTACATTAGCTTTCAAGAAGGACGTTGTGGGAAAGGCAGATGTATATAAAAATATTCCAGCGTCACCTTTTAAAATGCCTTTTACTCACCGGATTTCAACTGCGCGACGTGTTTACGCTCAGCAGCCATGTTTAGGGTTGTTTAGGGGGTGAAGGAGAAGGTGTGTGTGGCCGTTCTGGGAAGCGGGTATCGCTGGGCTGCCCTGTAGTTGTCAGTGTTTGTTCACCAGGAAGAGCTGCGCCTCCATTCACCCAACACACACTGAAAGTAGTCCCGGCACGTCGCTCGAGCCTTCCGCGCTCGCGCTAAATAGTCTTCGCTTACACACAACATGCCATGCATCGATGCGGACAAACATCCCGAGCAGCGGGGCGTTTGATGTTGACCAGACGGGACGATTCTAAAACGAGCAGTTTAACGAACCATAGGGATGTTTGTGAATATTTTGGATTTCAGTTTACGCTCCACACCCCCCTCCTCTCTCTGAAGAGCACAACCCCTTTGCGCAGGAATACAGCAGTCGGGTTTAGTACGTACGCGCAGCACTGTGCTGTCAGGGAGGCTGCGATGCTAACGCTGAAGGGGAAAAGAAGGCAATGGTGGCTCGTTTTATCCATTAATTTAACCATTTATTCTAGCTGTGCTTATTTTGCTAAATGTTGGGCCCTGAGCCTTAATGGCGCCTTTTGTTTGTCGGTCCGTCGACCTTGCAGGCAGCGAAGCTCGGATCTAACACAGTGTTCTTCTCACAACTGCAGATACTATCAAACACCCTATTTTACCACAGCTTTCGCGTGGTTGTAAAGTGATTAAAAGCCTATTCATTTTATCCCTAAACCAAATTTCTTTCCCAGGGAACCCACCCCCTCTCTAGCTTTCGATTTGGACTGGGAAGTCCTCCATTTCTTTCCCAAAAGCGAGCGGGCAGTAAAATGGGGGAAGGGTAGTAAACAGGGAGAATGTAATGAATTAAACCTTGTAAGTTACTGGAATCCAGTGACTAATGGCAACACCACACAAAATGGGACATCTGGGATTTCATTTCTATATTTTCGTGTCACACAGCATATCAATTTTAAAGAAACAACATGCTGAACGTGTGCTCAAGTCTGGTTAAAAGGTTGTTTGCAACACAGTTATACAGATTAGGCAAATACATTTCCAGCCACTCTCCACAATATTCTGTTCAATCACATATAGATATTATTTTGGTGTCTATGCTGAAAGCAATTAAATATGTATACATAGTACAATTTCACCTTTAAAATAGACAGTGGAAGTTTTGCCATCAAGTTTGCTTTATATATGGTAAATAAGTTTATGAGACAGTCTTTTGACATTAAAAGGCCTTTAGAGTTGTAGCTTTGTGTAAAAATAGTGACGGGAGGAGCAGACCTGTAGTTTATGGACTGACCAATCTAAATACTATGTATTTAAACTTGTTATTGATGTTAACTAAACACCACCAGCTCTGTTGTTATCGTAAAGTTATAGTCAATTATTTTTTAACCAACCGTATTGGAAATATTATTATTATATATTATTAACCAAACAATTTTTTAACGTCCATTTATGCTTATTTGTTTGCTATGGTATTGTGTTTATACTAACATAATCACCAGGGAAGTTAAATCTGACAAAATCCCCAACATTTTAGAGGGATATTTAAGAACCAAGTAAAAAAAAAAAAAAGACAAATAAATAAAATAAATTAACTTAATTTAAAAAGTATTTTAGGGTTAGTCAATACAATCCATTAATTAATGAATAGACTTAATTATAAACAATACACTTGTTACATTATTTATTTTCTATTGTTATTAAACACTGTAAAACCCAAAAGTTAAGGTAACTCAAATCATTTGAGGACCCCTGATTGCAACAAACTATTTAAGTTCAAAAACTAATCCTAATGAGTACTGTGAACTTAATCCATTTGAGTAAATGAAGCAACTTGAGCACAGTAAAACCCAATAAATGAAGAGAACTCAAACCAACTGAGTACTGTAAAACCAAATAAGTTAATGTAACTCAAACCATTTGAGGAAACCGATTGCAACAAACCATTTGAGTTAATAAAAACTACTGTAAAAATAGTTGGGTTAAAAATACCTAAATATATAACTCAACTATAGGTTGTTATATAGCACCTTCCCATCTATGGGTTATTTCAACCCAGTGCATTAGGTTTTTTTAACTCAATGCATTGGGTTGCTTTGATTACATGTTATTTTTTTCCATTCTGGCATTACTAATGCTACTATTACTAGTACTACAATTAATTTTAAAATTATGACTGTTATTTACAAACAGTTTTCAAAAATGTTAAAAATTATTTATTTCCACTACATTTTAAGTTCCAGACACAGCGTTTTTATTAATATAGATTGGCCACAAAGCGAGCGTTTGTATCAATAATAAAAAGTTCTGGTGAAACGGCAAGAAAAAACACCACACAGAGAGCTAATTTAAAAAAACAATATTGTGTTAGAGCTTAAATGAGTGTTATAAAGCAAAAACAACATTACACAAGCACATTAATACTGTCCGTTAAATCAGTTGACTGTTGAAATTCAACATTTTCAACCCAACTGGTCGAGTTATTAAATAAATAAACCAATAAAGGTTAAAAAATGACCCAACTCAACCATTGGGTTAAATAAATACTTCAATGTTTTTTAGAGTGTAATCTATACAAGTACTGTTAACTTTACTCCATTTAAGTTGAAGTAATGAGGTATTTAATTAACCCATTATTCTCAACACCGAGTTCAAAACTTTTAGTCAAGTTTGAGTTAACTACACTCATTTGATTTGATAAAGTTGACTGTTGGGTTTTTCAGTGTGCATCTTCATTAAAGCTCATCTCACATCATTAAATAATTGATAATGCATTATTATAATTAAGTCATATTATTTGTAATGTTGTTATTACTATAAGAATAATAAACACATTCTAAGTATTTTTTCAATTTAACGAATATAATGTCAATAAAGTGTCTGTTTGTCTGTAATGAATTAAGTATATTTATTATTTGTCTCTTCTTGACATTGCATTTCAATCACACATGATGCATACCGTATACATACTGCAATATCTTGTGCATCAGAAAAGAGTTTGAGGTTTGTCTTCCCCTTTTGAGCTAACAAGGGTGACTATGATGTAATATGTGATTTTTATTTATAAAGCTAAAACAAACTGCTAGGTGCCCTTGCTTGAAAAGTCCTCAAATTAACAGTGAACATCATTCGGTGATGTAACACTTTCTAAACCACTGACACTAAGAGTAAACGTGGAAGAGAAAAGGAGTCAGATATTTGAGAAACACATGAGTATAGCAGCCTGGGCTTTGAGGCTACTTAAGCAAAACTGATGCAACTTATCGCACTTTAGAGAAACGGTGGTGATCTGGTGGAGTGTGATGCTGAGTAGGCTTAAAACTTCAGGGGTAAAATGAGACAACAGCTGAAACTCACTGAAAGCGTGACTCAGTTGAATACAGACTCAATTAAAATACAAACCTGAAACACATTCTTAAAATATGTTGGAGTAATTGTTATAAAAATGAAAGACAGGCTCAAGGTTGTGTTATGATTGGTAATGTGCAGTGAGTTTTCTTGCCACTGGAGGTCAGGACTATCATTTCATACAGCGAGTTCAGAGGCCAAACATGGGTCAAAGGTTAGAAGGGTAAACGTATACATTTGGATGGCTCTATCTTTTTTTGGATTGCTGCAAATTCATATGAATATTTAAGGTTGTTGTAGGTTTTTCATAATAAATAATACAAACAGAAGCATTATACTGGAATTCAAAAACAGTTTACATTTGGTAACTTATAATAACTTAATCAGTAAAACATAGGATACTTGCCTTTTTATTTAAAGTATGCAGTTCCTGAATTATGGAAAAATCCAATATTAAATGTAAAGATAATATATATTTTTATATTTCTAAAATAATAACCTATAGTTATAACAATAATCAGAATGTATGAATTTATACTACTACAACTACAACAACTACTAAAACTATTACTACAACTACTACTATTGCTGCTACTACTACAACTACAACAACAACAACTACAACAACTACTACTACTTTTACAAGTACTGCTACTACTACAACTAATAAACTATTACTACTACTACTACAACTATTACTACTACTACTACAACAACTACTACTACTACATATACTACTACTATTACTGCTACTACTACTACTATTACTAATATTACTACTACTACAACAACTACTACTATTACTACTACAATAACTACAAAAACTACTACAACTACTACTACTGCTACTACTACAACTACTACTACTGCTGCTACTACTACAACTATTACCACTACTACTACTATTATTACTACTACAACAACCACTACTACTACTACTAATACAACTACAACTATTACTACTACTACTACAACTACTACTAGTACAACAAATACAACTGCTGCTACAACTATCACTACTACTACTACTACTACTACTACTACTACTACTACTACTACTACTACTACAACTACTACTGCAACTATTACTACTACAACTATTACTGCTACTACTACCATTACTACAACAACAACTACTACTACTACTACTATTACTACTACAACAACTACTACTACTATTACTACTACAACAGCTACTACTACTACTATTACTACTACAACAACTACTACTACTACAACTATTACAACTACTACTACTACAACTATTAAAAATACTACTACAACAACAAATACTACTACTACTACTAACACTACAACTTCTACTACTGCAACTATTACTTCAACTACTACTACTACAACTATTACCACAACAACTACTACTACAACTACTACTACAGCAACTATTACTACAACTATCACTACTACAACTATTACTGCTACTACTACTACCACCATTACCACAACTACTGCTACTGCTTCAACTACTACAGCTATTGCTACAACTATTACTACTACAACAACTACTACTAAACAACTATTACAACAACTACTACAACAACAACTATTACTACCACTACTACTACTACTACTACTACAAATACTACTACTACCACTATTACTACAACTATTACTACTACTACTACTACTACAACTTCTACTACTGCAACTATTACTACAACTATTACTGCTACTATTACTACTACAATAACTACAAAAACTACTACAACTACTACTACTACAACTATTACAACTACTACTACTACAACTATTACTAGTACTACTACGACTTCTACTACTGCAACTATTGCTTCAACTACTACTACTACAACTATTACAACAACTACTACTACAACTATTACTACTATTACTACAACTACTACTACTACAACAACAAATACTACTAGTACTACTATTACTACAACAACTTCTACTACTGCAACTATTACTTCTACAACTATTAATGTTATTACTACTACTACCATTACCGCAACAACTACTACTGCTTCTACTACTA